AGGAAAATTCAAATCGGAAAGTCCCTTATCAAATGACAAAATCATAAGCTCAAACACACCAAACGAATGGAAAACAACTGTCATATTCCTGACATGGTACAGGAATTTCCTAAAGTAGAAAATGGTGGATTTAACCTGGTTTTATGGCTAGCTAAACCTCTTACTTTTATGACAGTCGCATAAAATTCCATTATATTGACAACAATGTGTAAACACAACAAACAGACATCATAGGTCAAAATGTCAAAAAAGAGGCACAGTAGTCAACATTGTGTTGTAATCTTAATCACAATAAGAACAAACGAAATGGCATATAGACAAAGCACATAAGAAAAAATGTAAGACAAGAACACAAAAAATGACCACAGCACAACACCACATTGGAGGATGCATCAGTACCGAGACGCGCCAAAAGGATATTACCAAAAAATGGACTAAACAGTAAAGGTTAATAATTTACAAAGACAAATAAAAGAACACCATAACATTCATCAACTTTCTGCTCAGACACTGGTGAGGTTTTATAAAGTCTGAGTAGCAGCTGCAAGCTCTTGAATACCGAACTATCTTCTTGTTTTTGACAAGTGTATGAAGGAACTCCGACTCGTATGAAAATTAGAAGAGGTCGCGATCGGCAAGGCGAGGCACACAGTTCGTTCCCATAGAAATACCGACCATTTGTTGAAAAAGTCTACCTCAAAATTCAACAAATATATTGTCTATAAGAAACTCCAGAAAACTGATCACTTGTTCCTCTGCGTAGCATGTCTTACCTTTTTGTTCACTATTTACAAAATATGCCGTATGGTATCCCAAAGTAATAAATGTATAGCGTCAGCTACAATTTTGATATTGAAAAGCATTGTGGATAATTTCTTTTAGACGATTTTTCAATTTCACATGGTGAATGGCGATATACAGGGTTGAAAAATCAAAAGTGTTGATAGAATTGATTTCAGAGAAAGATATAAAATTATCCAGAAGTTCTTATCCAAAAATAATTATCTAAAACAACACAAAGTATCAATCTAAGATTACTCGCAGTTACTGATAGCTAGTTCAAAGCCAATTTCAACTGATAAATATACAATGTCTTCCCAGACTTATATACTAAACAGTATACATCAAACGTACTTAATGTAAAGACGTCATTAGGTCCAAGGACACAGTTATCGTCCTTTGGTTTTCGAATATAGTCCCTAGTGTGAACAGTATATAACTTGCATTCATTTTTATACACTTTCCCAATGTATTTCTTGATATTTAATGCATGAAATATTAAATAAGGGGATGAAATTACATGTTTAAAAAATTTGGGTGCTGAATCTTTATGTTAAGTAGTGATTTGGTCCAGTTAAAACAGGTCAAAAATTAGTACGTCTGAAGCTGTCAAACTGAATTTTAGACCCCCTCAACAGAATTGTCAATATTTTGAGTTAGAGCTGGTAGAAGTTTCTATAATTTTGATATTATTTGTCCCAATAGTAGTACACTACACTGTAAAAATATTTTTTGAGATAGAGTAGGTGTGATTTTTTTAATTTGAATCTATTGTCTAAAAGAAATGCACTACAAAATAACTGTGTTCTCGGGCCATTAACATGATATCTTGCAATGCAAAATATAAATGTGAAGGACCATAAGTGGTCGTATTTGTATATCAATAACGCATATAAACGATGCAGCTGGTTATTAGAGGGAAAACGTTTTTACCTGGAGAATAATTCAGTCGTCATCCTCTTTCGGCATGTTCGGTCTAGTCGTTCCGTCGACAGCAAATGGTGATGGCTCGCAGCAAGATGGATCAACACAAAATTCTCGAGTCCTTACGCAGTCACATATCTTCTTGTAGTAAGTGCACAACGGGTCATATACTCCATCTACAAGACGGTTTATTACTTGTGGTCTGACTGTTGAAAAAAATCATTTAAATTGTCATTATCTTATACTTACACAATTTCTAGAGTTGTGAGATAATCAAAATCAAGAATCCATTTATCATTGCTGATCCGTGCAACTGTCAACATATTTAACATTTTTTTCAAGACATTTGCTACATACACATTCAATATACCTATGCAGTCAGTATTCTTATTCGTCAAAATTTAGTATATTTCATGAATAAAAAAATTAATATGCATAAATTGAAAAATGAGTGAACAAAATTGAATAAAATACAAGTCAGAATAACACCTCCAGTTTTACCATTGGTAGTAGCACGAACATTTATTCATACATACCTACTCTGTTAATTCTGACTCATTATAAAGGTATTTCATTGAAACCATGTATTTCACGTTTTCGTACTGTGAATGTTTAATGTTATTATATCAACAGGAACCTAAATATATGAAATTAATTGAATCTGACGCGAGATGTTGTATAAAATATGTTTGCTTTACAAGTTTCGAGGACAAAACAGTCAACTAAAACACACCTGAACGTAAAAATGTGAACCCTTTTATCTCTTTTCGATCAGATTATTGCCCATTTTTATGATTTTTTCCCAAAAAATTATTGCCGTTGGCAAAGACGAAAATTAGTCCTAAAAATTCAAGCTTTTATCTTTCTGTGGATTTGTTTCAGGTGAATTCGTCCTTATGCATATTAAAGATCAAGATATATTTGCATACCGTAATTGATTGTTTTGTACACATTTGTCTTTAATTTAAACTTTACAAATATTTCTAGGCTTCATACTATTATTTGAGTAAAAACAGGTGTATAATATGCAAAATTGATCCTAAATTATACACCTATTTTAAACTTTTAAAGACCATGAAAAATCATGTAAACAATTCAAATATATCAACTTGGCTTCTCTAAAACGAGTTCAATTTCGTATGTTTAATTTCAATTGGAAATCAGCCTGTATATGTATCAACTCTATTAAATTTGCGATAGTGTTATGACGTTGCGTTAATAATGATATCTTTTTTCTGCATTCTTGCGAAAAGGAAACCATGAATTGTGCAAAATTGATCCTAAATTATACACTTATTTTAAATTTCTAAAGGCCATAAAAACTCATGTAAACAATTCAAATATATCAACTTGGCTTCTCTAAAACGAGTTCAATTTCGTATGTTTAATTTCAATTGGAAATCAGCTTGTATATGTATAAACTCTATTAAATTTGTGATACTGTTATGACGTTGCGTTAATTAGGATATCTTTTTTCTGCATTCTTGCGAAAAGGAAACCATGAATTGTGCATGTAAGTGAACTGAATAGAATTATATGGGATGTTTCTCTTGATGCTGTAGCTACTGCTCAGACTGTTCAATACATCTTGTTGAATTATGCAGATACTAATGTTATTCAATAACATATGTCAATTAGTTTCACAAACTGCAACGTATCTTTAAAAATGCACTACGAACGAAAGTACTGGCAAAATGTATGCAATATTTACATACTTACATTTAACTTGTTTGCGCTTTAAAGCATACTCCTGTGAAATATTGCAATAAATTCCGAGGATAAACAAAATTAAAACTTGTCTTGGTGACATCGTTAATCCAAAGAGAAGGCCTTACAAACAGTTAGTTGTCTTTTGCTGCTAAAGCAATATGCAGCAAAACTACAATACTTGATTGTCTAGCTATTGCTTTGCATGAACATCCACGTCCTGCGACCTTTTCGTCTAAAACATACATTTTGTAAATTTGGTATCTTGGTGCCTTTTCATGAGACAGTAATAAACTCATAAACATGTTAAATGTCAAGTTGTAGAAATTGTAGGCTAATTAGTTACATGTATAACTGACTTAATTAATTTCATGCTTTTAACAGTCTAAATTTTTTTCACTTCAGACCACCCTCATTGGAACGATAACGTCATGACTTTAAGTGTCGAGATATGAATATTTCTGCTAGCAGTGAATATACTTATTTTAGCCTTGTTTTGAATTATATCTTCTTTTAAGTACTGCTACATAAGCAGTGTTAAGTCCTTGTTTTTGAAATATAATTAATTGAAAATTTGGCGGGAAATGATTCTTTCTACATTGTTCTAAAATTTAACATTAGTACTTTTTTATTCTTTCAAAACTATGAAAAGTGACAAGGATTTATTAATATTTTCAAAAACGTTTTTTTAAACTATATGTATTAAATTTATAAACAGAAAAGTAGAGATTAGCAGGCAAAATTCTTATTGGCACGAAACTAGAGGATTCCGAATATCTAACAAAAAGTCAAACATCCTTCAAGTCAAATCGATTGTTTGTCATCATCTTCAGTTCTCGGTCGATTCTGTTTGTTAGTTTATGTAGATCAAAGTCATGATATCAAGCAGATTAAACGTAGTTCTGTTATCCTTTGAATGATGTTGAATGGCTTGGATCTCATAAAAAAATGCTTCCGAACTTTAAATGAGAATATCTCATCTATACAGCTGAAGTGGATTTAACTGATTATGAACGTTTCTTGTCATGAGATGAAAGAGGGGTGGAAGGATTTTTTTAGGACGTCGGGATTAGGCCTTTTCATGCGAAAATGCGGAATTTACAATTATCGGGACTCGGGTATTAAGAATAATATTTCGGGATCCGGGAGAGAATAATTTATATTTTCAGGAGTTCGGGATTCAGCGTTCATTTTCCCGTGAATTCGGAATGACATGCCCTTCTACCGCTTTTCAGGAAAATTCCTAATAAGGAGTATGCATCATTCATCAGTTGCAGTACACTTGATAAGGCGGATATTGTGAAAAACTTGTCATAACATTGAAATCCAGGTAATAAATCAATTAAAAGGGTATTATTTAAAAAAAAAGAAAAACTGCGCTATTATCTTTTATACAGTTATTACATTTCATCATGACTATAGCAATTGCTGGTTCATTAATTTATATATAGTGAGTGTATTTTATATGTTCCCTGAATAAACAGGCGGTTGTGGTATGCAGATCCACTATTTAAAGCAGGTGATTGTAGAATAAATGTCCACTATATGTAGCAGTCGGTTGTAGCATATATGTCCACTACAAAAAGCAGGTAGTTGAAGTATGTATGTCCTCTACATAAATCAAGTTTTCTGGAAAAAATTATAAACTGTTAATAGAGAAAATAAAATGAAAAAAACAATTATAACAAATATACCTGTTTTTGATTGGTTGATTGATTGATTGATTGATTGATTGATTGATTGATTGATTGATTGATTGAGTGTCACCCAGGTCACTGGGGTTTTGAACATATTTGTTGGTGCAAAACACTCTCCATAAAATCCGACAGTGCACTTGGTATAACAGCATAATATAACAACAAACTTTGAAATCCGTTGGATAGAGCTTGAATAATCAGATCGACATATACCACAAAAAAGTATCGATTTAAGTTTACTCGCAGTTAATGAAAGCTTGTTCAAAGCCAATCTCAATAAATAAATATATCATGGTTTCCTAGACTTATATGCTAAACTGTATACATCAAACGGATTGTATATAAAGACGTCATAAATAATGACAATACAAAATATAGGTATGTTGGACCACAAGTGTTTGTAGTTGTATATTAAGTTATGTAATAATTTTATTTAAGTTAAAATCAGTGTTAGTACCAATAAAGATTATATATTCAAATATCACAATACTACAACGTTAATTTTACGACGTTTATGAATATGTTTATTCAAAGGTTCAATTAGTTTACATGGATTGTTTCTAAATTAATGGGCAATATAAACAATGTATTACCGTAAAAATAAGGATGTGATATCCCGTTTGTAATCAGAAAGGAAAAAAAAGGATATGGCAAGGCTCTTTATTGTTTTTGATTTCAGAGACAGAAATCTTTGCATAGTTTTAATATTCTATTAAGATGTTTAAATCCTTATCGCAAAATTATCTCAGGTGAAATTAATTGATTCAGATGTACAAAAAGGTATTTCCAATGTCGATTTCTATCAATATCGATGAAATTAGGAGAACATTTATGTATGATATACATGTATAATATTATATAGATCGATAATGATTGCCATAAAAACAACTTTTAAACAGAGACCAAAAGACATAGATGCAGACATGTAAAGGTCAACATGCGATTGGCTGAGAAAAAGAAACATTACAACAAAAGATATGATTTCAGCTTTTCAATTGTAAACATTTTGAACCCCGCCATATTCTTAATGTGCCTGTCCCAAGTCAGGAGCCTGTAGTTCAGTAGTTGTCGTTGGTTCGTGTCTGTCATATTTGTTTTTCGTAAATTGTTTTGTTTTAAATTAGGCCGCTAGTTTTTCTCAATTGAATTGTTTAATATTTGTCATGTTGGGGCCTTTCATTGCCGACTATATGGTATGGGTTTTTCTTGTTGTTGAAGGTCGTACGGTTACCTACAATAGCGTATATCAACTTCATTTGAACTTTAGTGGATAGTTATCTACTTGACAATCATACCACATCTCCTTATTTTTATAGGAGTTCCAAGTGATGAAATTGAAATCATCCCTTCGAAAATTTTACGGACACCATCACGAGTTCGTTAACCGTTTGGGAAATCTGTTTTACATGTGACGACGGATTTGTTCCAATATCCGTAACCGCAATCCCGTCCTTTTTCCTAGAATGTGACCTACCGAATTCGACTTATCACCGGGTTTTTTTTACATGAGCACCATAACGTGTGCCCCATTTGGAGCATGATTTGTTAACCTTTGCGGAACTTCTAAAATCATCCAAGTTTTTTGGTTGGGTTCGTGTTGTTTGGTTTGTAGTCTTCTATGTTGTGTTTTGTGTCCTGTTGTTTGTTTTTTCGTCGTTTTTCGTTTTCGGCCATGGTATTGTTAGATTGTTTTATACTTTTGAGTTTGAATATCCTTTTGGTATCTATCGCCTCTCTTGTACGACATTCAACAATAAGCAAACCCCAATCCGTATTGTAAGATATAAAAGGACGCTGCATAACAAAACATGAAACAGGTCAAAAAAAGAAAACCAACGGGCTGATACCTGCTTAAGATACAAATATGGCAGACAGAAACCATTATGTTTGATATGCTTGCCTGCTAGGTTGAACCTAAACACGTTATTAAAATGATACAACGCATTTAAACGGTGCATGTTATAAGAAAGAAAACGTTTTTTACCTGAAGAATAATTCAGTCGTCATCCTCCTCTATCATCTGGCCAGTCATTTGGATGACAGCAAATGGTGATGGGTTGCAGCAAGATGGATCAACACAAAATTGTCGAATCCTTGCGCAGTCACATCTCAGCTTGTAGTAACTGCACAACTGGTCGTAGGGGTTAGGCAAAAATGTGGCAACTGTTAAAAACAAAACTAATCAAATTGACATTATCAAATACTTACAAAATGTCGAGAATTGTGTGCGATTATCGAAATCAAGAATCCATTTGACATTGCTGATCCGTACTACTGCCAAAAAATGAAATATTTTTTAAGAAATTAGTTGAATACGCATTTCAATATACATATAAAGTCAGGATTCTATTTTGTTAAAAACGTCCCATTATTAGGGATGATGCGCTGTCAATTTAGTCCTTGAAATCCGAAAAATTCATTCAGATGGCATTATTACGATCCTTACATAGTAGTTGTTTTATTCACGCATCGTTGTCAATATAATGGAATTTGATGCGACTGTCATACAAGTGGGAGGTTTAGCGCTATAAAACCAGGTTCAATCCACCATTTTCTGCATAAGAAAATGCTTGTACCAAGTCAGGAATATGACAGTTGTTGTCCATTCGTTTGATGTGTTTGTGCTTTTGATTTTGCCATTCAATTAGGGACTTTCCGTTTGAATTTTGCTCGGAGTTCAGTATTTTTGTGATTTAACTTTTTTGTATTTGAATAGACAAATTTATTTATTAGCTATAAATTCATTCAATGTACTTTTATGGCTTTTGCAACTTGCGTACAATGGGAGGCAACTCTCGTTGTACTCAACTACTAACGCCTTATATGAGATTTGCCCGCCTTGTTACTTCATCCGGGTTTCAGTTGACATGTGGTTTGAAGCAAGAGAGCATGTTCCAGCCACATGCATTGTATAATGTATTTGATTTTTTTTTTTTTCATTATTATTTTTATAATTACCCAGATCGGGTACAGGTGCTTCATACTGACACTTTGTTCATTGTAGCTTATTGATACCATTGATACTCGAATACTCGCTCGAAAGGCCGAGTTCTCGAGTAAAATATTAGTACTTGAAAACTAGTTTGCCTTTTAAAAATCTTGAGACATTTCACCTTTCTTAAGTTCCCTTTGAAATATTCCCTTCGTAATACTAATTAATATTCATTAACAACGTAAATACAGTTCACCTTAAATCTAACGTCTTACATTTAAATTCAGCAACTGATTAGAGACATTTGTAACGGTGCTAGTACATGGATCAACACTTTCATGGTTCAATTATAACTCATCACAAGCTGTACACTTAACTTAGATTTGAATGTTAATCAAGAGTTCTTTGTAAGCGTGATTGGCATGAGATGTACATTTGATGTAATAAATGTTTATTTGAAACTTTATTATTATCTAATTGAGAATTAAATATCGTTTTGTAGATATAATTTTAAGTCCAATAATTTGTTGAAAATTTATGGTACAAGTCGTAATATCAAAATTACTCACTCCACGGGAACAGATGATACAGATTGTCTATCAAGTCGGACTTTATTTACATATTGATGATTCTATTGGCATATTTCTGAGTATGTACATTAACACACAAAGAATAGTTGCTTCATAGTAATATCTGGAGTTGGATATCATGTCGAAGAAAAGGCTGGAATACGGAGTCGAACAAGACGGTCAACATGTTGGAAATTAGGGACATTGTTAGTGATGTGACAATAAGTAAAAAAGCAGCCATGAAAAAAGTCGTTGAACAAGTTAACATTCTTAATAACACAGAATGGCAGAGCGATCTCTTAAACGATCGCGGAAAAGATAATCGAAATAAACTTAGAACATACAGGCAATACAAAAGTAATTGTTCCGTGGAAACATATGTTTCAAAAAATTATTGTACGGTCGTATCAACGTGTAATGGCACTGTTTCGTGGAGGCTCGTTCCCGTTAGCCATCGATACTGGAAGAAACACTAGGCCGCCAATACCTGTTGACGATCGACTGTGTGTTTATTGTTCGGACAATAGTGTTGAAACTGAGAAACATGTTTTATCGAACTGTTCTCTATATAATGACTTAAATTTGACCTTTACTCACAATGTTCACAACATAGTTTCGATACTTTGAAAATCATGCACTGCTCCGAGATTCACCCATTTTTATGTAAAAGTATTTATAAGTTTTTCATGCGACGTAAATTGTTTACATAAATTTTTAACCGTGAATAAATTAGTTCTGCTTATTTACATTATGTATATTAGTTTTAAGTGATATCTTAACGTAAATATTTTCACCTATGTCTGAAGTTTAAAATAGATGTAAAGTATTTTTTTTACGTAATATTTTTATTAATATTTTTTTTTTTTTTTTATTCATGTTGAAAATACTTTTAAATCAAAGTTATTAGTTTCAAAAATAGAATTTCAGAGTATCGTTTGATTTTTAAGACCATGTATATATTTTGTGCAATGTGTCTCATAAGCCAAATTGATATGGTTGGGTATTGATTGTTCTATGTATGTTTTAATGTTATTGTATAATATGCATGTCAATCAGTATGTGACACAATGATAAAATAGATTATTATTTTATTTTTATTGCTATCTGATAGGTTATTTTTAGAAACGGTGGTCAGTTATTCATTGATCAAATGACACAAAAAAAGTGGAGCGAAACACATAACCAAGGATTACGTTATATTTTGTAGTCATACAGTTTGAGTCTGCAATAATATCAGATTATTACATGGCATTTTTCATATCAGATGTATGATCAGCTCAAGGTTCAATATCAGCCCAAGAGCCGAAGGCTCGAGGGCTGATATTGACCAAGGGCTGATCATACATCTGATATGAAAAATGACATGTTATGATCTTTTTATCATATGCTTCAACAATGGAGAAAATTAACAGTTTAATATATTGATCCTTTTATGGGGTTCTCAAGTGGGAGTTTAAAAAGTGAAAAAGTTACGGATCTCAGACGCCAAATGTAATACATCCGATATGAAATCTTTCTATCAAATGCCTCAACAGAGGAGAAAAACATCAGCTTAATATATTTTTATATGGACGATAAAAAAAAATCAACAAAACAAGTCATAATGAACACTGTTTGGAAAGGTCAACATTTGTAAAGTAAATTTCTCAATTATGCTGTAAACTTTGAAAAATGCATTATTGTATCATTTGTTTTTTTTCTGTGTTTTATATTATATATTTTCCTGTTTCCTAATAATTGTTTTGTGCCCTACTTTGTTATGTTTTTCACTGAAAACGTACATGTACCATTGAGGTAGCAATACACAGTTAGGAGTGTGGATGTTATTGGGCAATAAAATTCATTTTTAAACAGCTGAGTACTAATTTAGCCTTCAAAGTTGGTTTATAATAACATCAAGACAAATTTTTACATGTTTTATGGGCTATTTTCTGTTTGACTGTTTTTGGGAAATATGTGACATCTTTACCCCCCTTTTTGCAATATTTTATAGCAAATAAGTACATAAATGTTGCCATAGATACACCAAAAAGAAATAATATTTAGCAATTTTAACTACTGGAAGATACTGATTACATACATATACACATATATGACACAAACAGTAAGCTTAATTTGCAAGAAAGCAATGAAAAGGGGATGGTAAAATTTATGAGAGTAAATTTTGATATTTTTTCCTAACTGTATATTGCTACCTTAGGTGTGTTCTCCGAAATTTGCCGAGTAACGCCGGAATGCCATGCGATAACGTTACGCAAAGGCATGTGATAATAGCTGGAGGCATGTGATAAATTTTTCATATCAGCCTGCTAAACACCATTTCGGAAAATATGAAATTCACGTTAATTTAATGCTATTATCATACTGTAAACATTATAAGTTATTTACTCAAAGTATATGATAATATGTCTTTCGTTAAGTTGTCAAGCGTTGTCATCATATTATTTTTTGGTTTATGAAAGGTAATAACAAATATACCGCATCCCAACAAAAATCAATACTTTTCACCAGACGTTAAAGATTTATCCGAGTACTCGAGTACTCGTGAGTATCATGAATGAGTACTCGAATATTAAATTTCAAATCTGTTGACATCCCTACTAATTACCCTAGATAACACACACTTAAAATGGAATTTTATTGAAGTTATATATACAAAATATTCACAAGTAAAGTTTGTCGTCATTGAGTTAAAAATGTAAGGATGTTTGAGTGAAAAGTGTGTCCGACTTTTCTTTTTTAGTATATTTCATGAATATGATATATATATTAATATACCTTAATTGTAATTGAAAAATGATTGAACGAAATTGTGTAAATCATAAGTCAGAAATACACCTCAAGGTTAAACATTCGAATAGCACGAAACTTTTTTTTTATTCAAAAACATCTACTCTGCTAATATGACTCATTAGACAGGTATTGCATATGTCCTATATATTTCATGTTTTTGTACTTTGAATATTTAATGTTATTATATTAACATGTAGCTTGACTATATGGAAATAGTGGAAGCGAGACGATGTATTAAATATATTTGCTTAGCACGTTTTCAGGACAAGACAATCAATTCAAACACGCCTGATCGTACAATATTGTACCCGATTATCTCTTGTCGTTAAGATTATTGCCAACTTTAAGTTTTTTTTTCCGGGATCCTAAAAGACTGTTGCAGTTGGCAGACATGCAACATATTGCTTTACAAAGATCAATCTTTTATCTTTCTTAGGAATTTTTTTTGGTGGAATTTATGCTTATGCATATCAAAGATCCATATGTATTTGCACCTACCACAAATACCGCTTGGCTCCATACTATAATTTGAGTGAAACACGTATATGATATGAAAACAGAATCCTTAATTATGCACATTCTTAAATTCCTTAAGGTCATAGAAATAGATGTAAATAATTCAAATATGCCAATCACATGGGTTGTTTCCTTTGGCGCAAATACAAAAGTTCAATCCTGGTATCTATGACGAGTTTATTGATGCTATAGCCACTGCCTTTACTGTTCCGTATACTTAATTGAATTCTGCAAATATAAGTACTAATGTTATTCAATAAAAGTATATCAACTAGGTTTCACCAACTGCAACTTGCCCACAGCTTTTGGTAACTTCATGTAGTTAAATGAACCTATAACCGCTGTATCCGTCCCATTGATGAATTTTACCTTACATGTTCAATACGAACGAGAACATTTGTAAATTGTATGCAATATTTAAAAACTTACGACTTAAAACACGCTGCTGTACAATATTGCAGGAAATTCCAATCATAAACAGAATTAAAACTTGTCTTGGTGACATCTTTAATCCAAAAGGAAGGCCTTACGAACAATTAGTTGTCTTTTGCTGCTATAGCAATATGCAGCAAAACTACAACACTTGATTGTCTAGCTATTAATTTACAGGAACATCCACGTCCTGGGACCTTTTCTTCTATAACAACATACACGTTGAAATTATGTCACCTGGATGCCTTTTCATGAAAGACAGTAATAGGCTTAAGGCGACATGAAAATGTCAACTGTCAAGTGTTGTAAAAATTGTAGTCTAATTAGGTACACGTAAATATAGCTTATATCTAAGGATTTACATGTAGATCTACTCTATAAAAATATATTAGTTATCTATGTATATTACTTCATTTAAACATTACTGATGGTAACTAACACCTGCAACCGATATGGCATTTGGTTTTAACGAAAAAAAGTCATGTGACTGGAAAGCAGTGACTTCTGATGCTTTAGACAACAGGATCACTAAGTAAATTTTGCTTCACACTATGGAGTCATTACCAGATCTGAGAAAGAATAGTTATCTTTATGCCACATGTCTACCTAACTCTAATATTGAGGAAAAAACAAAACTCAGCAGATTACATGACCAGAACTTTAGAAATTACTCGACTTTATAGATAGTCTTTCACTGTAGCAGCAGTTCAAAAGTCGGTACTGCCGTAATGACTTGATTTATAACATACTTTTTTAAAATTACCCCTTGATAGATTAAGATATTTTATAGCTACTAAGGTGCGAACTGCCACGAACAACGTTGGAAAGAATTTGGCTTATTTTCGAATTATAAAACTCCTAGCAATGTTTATACATATTTATGCATACCTGGCTTGCAATCCTAGTCCTGATTATGGTGAAGCTAGAAAAGTGCTTCGGATCCGAAGAAATTTATAGAGTGTATTTTTTGCAGTGTCTCCTTCCCCTTGTTATCCAACTATGCATCTCTTCTGGATATTTTTTTCATATGAGTCGGAGTTCCTTCAGACACTTGTAAAAAATATGAAGATCAAAGAAGCTAGATTATTTAGTTTCACATACAGGTATATTGATGATCTACTTTCCATTAACAGTCCAAACTTTTTCTGATTGGATCTTATTAGTATATCCATCTGACCTATAGATTAAAGAAACCACAAATACAGCTTACTCCGCATTATTTCTAGACATTTACCTCGAACTTCATAACAGCAGTCATCTCAGTACCAGAATCTATGACAAATGAGACGATTTCAATTTTGAAATTATAATTTTCTTCACCTTAACAGCAATATTCAGGATTCACCAGCGTTTTGAGTATACATTTCTCAACGATATTCAAGAGCATGCAGCTGCTACTCAGTCTTTGTAAAACGGAATCGGTGACTTATCAAAAATTTAATGAGCCAGGGTTTTTTCAAAGAACGTCTCGTCCTTTTTCTCAAAAAGTTCATCGGAAAATACCAAGACCTAATACATGAATATTTAGTGTCTACTTCACAAATAATACACGATGGTCTTGAGTTATAGAATATAGGTGCTGAAGTTGTGTATTTTTTTTACCTTAGTTTCCCCATTATTTGTCTTCAGCACTACTTTGAAAATACAAAATTAACTTATATATCTTAAACTTACAATAGGTCTATTTGAAGTATTATGTTTTATTTCGTATATCTATTACATCCGACGTTGATATTAAAAACAACACACTCAGTCGATGTAAAGTTGTGAATGGCTTCTAAGTCACGGGTACAGGTGCTCGAAACAGATTGTGTTTATTGTCAACCGGGGTTTGAAACAGGGTGTCCAATTCTTCCTTATTATTTTTCCTGATTTTTAAAAGTTCAAAAGTTTTCCACTTTAAACCAACCTCATTTGAACGATCACGTCATGACTTTAAGCATGGAGATAACCAATTTTATTTGCTAATTGAAAAGCTGAATACAATCATTTAAGACAGCAAAAAAAATTAATTCTGTATAATTGTTTATTGCTCAGACTTAAATAAAGAGAAGATATTTATACTGTAAATTTATGATGTGTCTGTACTGGTCAGTGGGTCAGATTTATCATACTTAATTAAACGATAAATTATTGAAATTAGATAACATGTTTTCACTTTTAGAGAAATTACACGTATGACCAGTGCATGATTGGATTACATCTTTCTTATTGGTCAATGATTTTGCGGTGTCTGCACGAGTTCACGTGTATATGCTCTGTGCTGCCTTTTATCATCAGCTTTTGACTTGTTAACTTTATGGATAATTTTGGATTGGGGCGAATTCCTTTTTGCAATTTAAGGTAAAAGCGAACCATCTTTTTGTGTTTTAACTATTTTATGCTTACATCATGAACAAATGTGTAGTTGCTTTTTGACCATTCTTTCATTCATAAAGATTACACGATTTTGTTTTATGCAATACACGTAACGGTCGGTCAAATTTGTCTCTTTGTTGAAGAGATATTGGAGTAAAATTAATGTTGGTTTTGGTAGTGGCACTGTGTGTTTGCAATCAAAATGTACTTATTTACCATGATTTTGGAAAATTATAGCTGATGATAAACCCGATGTTGTTTTTTTACGAGTTGGAAGATGATATTAAGCATAAGAGAGCCCACCAGAAGAAGTTAGCACGAGTTATCATTTCATTATTTTACACAGTTCGTCTTTATGGTAATGTTCATCATTTCCAAGCAGGCACTCCAAAGTTTATACAAAGTTGAAATGACGTTGAATGAACAGTTAGTTTTGAAATTTTGAGATTGAAAAGGTGATGTTGTCAATGAGATACCAATATGTTTCTGCGTTTTTTCAACGTCGATTTTTTATTGGATGTAGGTTTAAACTTAACATTAAAACAACCTCACAATTCAACATTGAAATAACCCTGTTTCGTCACGTTTATGTTTGAAATAGACAATTTAAAGTTTGTTGTTGGTCCATGTCTATCATATTTGTTCCTCGTTTTAAATGCAGCGGTTGGTTTTCTAGTTTGAATTGTTAAACATTGTTCATACCGGGCCTGCCTAGCCTTCTATGAGCTATTTGCTTTGTGCATTGTTGAAGGCTGTACGGTGATCTATTGTTGTCTCTTTGGGAATCATTATCGGCCAGCCTTTTCACCGTTTTGCAGCTAATCGGCCACATTGTTAAAATGAACATGTTAATGCAGTGATTGATATAGAACTTGGATCAATTATCGTGCTGCGATCCGATACTGAATCCTTGTTAACATAAGATGTTCCACACTTAAATGCAAAAGGCATCCTAAAATGTGCCTAACGTATAAGATCCGCCTTAGGCATTTGTATGAGACGTGGTTTATTTAAATACACATACTCAAATTTATTGGCATACATTAATTTACAAAAAATGATTAAGATCTATTGCATATATATTTACAGAATAATATTAACATACATGATAGAATGAAAAGTTACATACTTATATATAATATTTTTAAACTATTTCTTACAATTAAACACTCTAATATGAAAGAGACATACACTTCAAATAAAAAGGCTAAGCTATTGTTTATAGTGTTACAAACCAATTTGCCTTACTTGCTTTGGGTAAGGTGGACGATATTTTAATCGGTGCAGAGAACGTGATTGCTGTTACTTTTGACTTTGTTTATTTGTTTTTGCAAATATGTTTTAATGTAGTGTTTATTGTTTTATGCTATGTCATGAAACTACTGTTACTTTGGTAAATATGTTCACGGTGATTGATTTGGAACAAATAGTATTCTAGGTTAGCCTATTTGCTATAATTGCCAGTTTTTAAATGTTTGCATGTGTACCTTGTTTGCTATATGTTAACGGTAAAAGAAGGATATGTCTCTTACATCTATCGCAACAAAATGCTTATTTATTACAAACCAATTTTCCTATCATTGCCTGTTTGGTAAGGTGGATGATATTTTAATCTTTGCAGAGGGCGGTGTTGTTTGTACTTATGTCCTCTGTATATTTGCAGAGGTCGTGGCAGCTTAGACTTATGACCTCTGTGTATTTTTTTTTTTTGCAGAGGTCGTGGTATCTTGGACTTATGTCCTCTGTGTATTTGCTTTTGCAAATATGTTATTATTTAGTGGGTATTGTTTTATGCTTTGTTATTTTCGTCATGGTGATTGGTTTGGAAAAAAAAAATTGTAATTAAGCATATTCGCCAGAATTGCCGATATTTGAAGACATGTAGCTATTTAACATGTTTGGCAGTATTTTAATACATGTTGCTAATGTATTATAGTTAAATTATGTTTACTTGTATAATCCATGTAGTTTTGGGATGCGATGAACTTAATTGATAATTTTTATACCAATATTTAAGCATTGTAAGGTCGTTTGCTTATGATTTATAATAGTTTTACCATTAAAAATGACAATGGACATGACATAAGTTATCAATACAACACTAATAATAGTTTAAAGTTCATAAACTCCATTTAATTCTTATATATGTTTAATGGTTGATTGATTGTAGAAAAAAATTATCGCATATTATACCTTAACATATGTTATGTTTACTGTTCTAGAGTGAGATCGAGTTTGTTATATAAAAACAATTTTTGTTTTTTATTATTTTACATCTAATTTTGTTTATTTCATGGTTTAACTATGAACGAAGAGTCTGAGTCTGGTATTCTTCTACGTAAGAACTATCAACCATTTAAGGAAATATGCAATAAAGCGCGATATCAACAACTTACATATAGTTTTATATATTAGTGGTATGTCACAGTTCCGATAATATAAACATACGAATGTTGGTGAATTGCTGTTTAACTGACGTTAAGAAGACATAATTAATTTTGAGATTCGAATTTTGATCTCGACGTGCGAGTCGTATCAACAATAATCATTGACTGGCCAAAGTCTACTTTGACTGTTTTATTAACACTAATTTACAAAAGGTGTCTTCGATTAGCATTTGGATACACAACTGGACCTTTGTTCCAATGAAAGTCTGAAATATCTGTTGCACGCTCTTATTTCACCACCTCTTTAAAGTTGGCTCTGTCGTTAATTGGTTTCGACTCTCGGTACTATACAGCACCTTGTTGTAGAACAAGGGCGTCGACTTCTGCAGCAGCAAATGGATGGAATTCCCGTCTCCGTTATTCAAGGATTTTTTTTTTTTTTTTTTTTTTTTTTTTTTAA